GCCGTAGTACGACATGAGCTCGCGGCCCACGGGGCGGCCTGCAGGCGCCGAGTGCTGCTGCCGTAGTAATACGACAGGCGGCGGCCCAGGGAGGCAGACTGCAGGCGGCGGCCGGCCTGCACACGCAGGGCGGAATGGGGGAGGGATGTCAGCCTGGTTGCCGCGGTGGGGCCCTTGCCAGGCTGCCAGGCAGGCAGGCAGGGCACGGCTGGCCCCCCGGCCGTTCAGCAGGAGGACCCCAGCCGACGAAGCCCAGCGCAGCAAGCGACACAAGCTATGAAGCCAGCAAAGCCGGGGCGCCAGTAAAGCTAGGCATGCGGGCGGGCTGCTCACCGAGCTGCCCGAGTAGTAGTACGACAGGCTGCGACCCACAGTCTGCAGGCGGCGGCCGGAGGAGGCGCCGTAATAGTACGAGGCCAGGCCGCGGCCGGGGGCGCCGGCGCTCATCAGGCGGCGGCCAGACTGCGGCATATGGGGAGGGTGGGGGGAAAGGGGAGGGGGTGGGTCAGCGGACCGGCGGTGCTGCAGTGGGCATGTGGTTTGGGCGGTTGCTGTGGTGTGGTGTGTGCTGGCAAAGGGGGTGGGAGCGTGCGGGGCTGGCTACCGGGCCAGCTGGCCGCAGGGGCGGAGCCGGAGGTGGTGGGCTGGGGGGGGGGCATTTAAACTGCCTTGGGCAGGAGGCCAGGGCACTCACCGATCCATAGTAGTAGGAGGTCAGGCTGCGGCCGGAGGAGATGGAGCTCAGGCGGCGGCTACCCTGCAGAGGAGAAAGGGAAGCGGGAGGCGGGGAGGTGAGCGGGTCGGTGCTTGGGGCGGGGCCGGCAGGGGCTGCAGCTGCCGGCGAGTCGAGCGCGGGATGGTAAGACTGAGTGGCTAGGCAGGGCTGGGGCGGCGGGTGGGCTGCGTCTGGAGGGGGGCACTCACCCCGTAGCCGTAGTAGGAGGTCAGGCTGCGGCCAATGGTGGTGGCCAGGCGGCTGGGCAGGGGCACGGCGTGGGCAGACTCCCACACGCCGCCAAACAGGCGGCGCGCGCTGCCGGGCAGCAGGTGGGGCATGGCCGGCGCGCCGGCGCTGCTCAGGCGGCGGGACTGCAGGGGGAGGGAGGCAGGGGGAGGAGGGCGAGGTGAGGCAAGGGACTTGGGAGGCGTTGCGTTCAGCGGGGCTGTGGGCCGGGCTGGATCGCGAAAAGATCCACACCACCCAAGGGGTTGCTGCCCGCTGGTGGCAAGGGTCACCGGCCGGCCCTCCCTCCTTGCAGCAGCTGGCTGGCAGGCGGCAGCAGCGCTCACCCCGTAATAGCCGTAGCTGTGCAGGCGGCGGGTGCCGTAGTAATAGCCGCTGGTGGCTGCGGCGGGTGCGACGGCGGCGGCGGCCAGCAGCAGGCCGAGGGCCTGCAGTAGCGGGGGCAAGGCGGGCTTGTTCGGGGCGGCGCGGCGGGCTTTTCAAGGCTTTGGGGGCGACCCACTGCCGCTGGGGAGGCCACAGCGGGGCAGGCAAGGCGGCGCGTCGATTCAGGCGTGTCCCTCCAGAATTGATTGGCATCCCATGACAGGGCCGCAGGCAGCCGCAGCGGGGCGGGTGGCCTGCCAGCAGCCCCTGCCATGTCAATTGGCGCGGCCGCCGCTGGGCCGGGCTGGTGCAGCGACCCTCTGTATAACGCATGGACCCCCATGCCTCTCCAGACCCGCCTCACCTGCCACAGGAGGGCCTTCTGAGGGGTCTGCATCGTTGCAGGCTGCTGCAGGGGGCGGGGCGAGCTGGCAGGGGGGAGATGCCGTTCAACTCGGGCAGAAGGTTGAAGCTCCGAGGGCTGTTCGGGGGCTTGATAACGCACGAAGGGCACCGGGTGTGCCTGAGTGCAGTGTAGAACGAACCAACAGCGAGCGAGCGGGTCGGGAAGCGCGTTTAGATGCCAGTGAAGACTCCTGGGAAGTACACGTGCCACTTGGCGGCGGCGGACCTGGGGAAAACTTCTTCTTCGGGCGCATAGCCCCATCTGGTCCAGGGGAGATTGGCAGGGATTGGTCGCGGGGCATGGCAGCATCCATGCCGCCGCCAGGTAGGCATTCCCTCGCTTTGCTAAGGCCGCGCCCCGCCGCCGGGAAGGAGTCATTGGCATGTTTACCAACGCACACGTGTCCTGGACAGACCTTGCTAGATTGCCGCAGCTTTGAATGGCGCAGCGGCGCCTTGCGGCGGGAGGCGCGCAAGGCAGGCTGGCCGCTGGTTGCAGGCCATGCCATGGGCTGCTTCAGCACTGCTCTGATGCAGCTTCCGAAAGCTGGGCAGTGCTGCCGGCGGTCCTTCAAGTGCATGCCCTCGATGGCCGGCTCGCTCGGCAGCAACAGGTGCCGCTCCTAGCACCTACCGGAGCACCACTCTTCCCCCACTTTGCCAGGGCTCTGATCCAGAGATCACATCGGGATCATTGCGACGCATTGGGGCGTACAAGAAAGGCAGCGAAAACTTAAGTCGCTAGAGGGGTGTTCATGTTTTGCTGCCTGCCCCGCCTGCCGTGGGAGCTCGACCGCTGGCTGGCTCGCCGCTGTGTGCGTGCCGAGGTTTCAGGAGACTCGGCCCCATTCAGTTCACTGGTAGATCTCCGCGCCGCGCGCCCTAAACTCCCGGCTCATCCGCCGCATGCCCTCTGCGGCCTCGCCCTCCGCCTCCGCCTCCTCACCCACAGCCACCACGCCGGCTCCGCTCTCTACCAGCACCGCCGCGCCCTATCCCTGGTCTCGCTC